CATAATTTGTAATAGAATAATAATATGGATTTATAATATGGATTTACACACCTTTTCTGTTGTGATTTTAACGTCAATGCGTTTCATTTATAATGCCTAGTAACGGATCACATGCATGCATGATAGAATCAAGAACAATTTCAAAACAAGTCAGTTATATATATCATGATTTATTGGTTGAAGTTGAAAGATATTGGCGTCTATACTTTTCGTATATTAGTTTGAATTTCGATTATACGAGTTTGTCACGTAAGAAATATGATAAAATTGCTAACTCTTTGTGGTTACACTTTCAGACTTTCTTCCTAACCACTCGTTGTTGTTACATGTGAAAACTGATTACACATATATATTATTACACATATATATTCTGACTTTACGAAGTAAATATATTCATTTGACTAGTTACGTACCTCCTATATGTTAGTATATTAATCTAGAAGTTATTGAAATTGTATATTTGTATTAGACAATTGAAAGCATAAACCAAAAACAAAACATTATTATTTTTGTTGAATATATTTTGTATTTAATCTGTTAATTACATCATCATTAGAAATATCTTAACGTATATAATGACAAATTAATCACCGGTCACAACCGACATGTTATTTACAATACATGAGATCACGACAAACGATTATATCCACTTTACATAGACATACAACGACAAAAATACACACGTGAATCTCTGCAACGTGTTGAAACTTCTGAAAATTATATATACATGAGATCACGACAAATGATTATATCCACTTTACATAGACATACAACGACAAAAATACTAATAACACGTGAATCTCTGCAACGTGTTGGAACTTTTGAAAAATTATATTTATAATATGTAAAAAATTGTGTAAATCTAAAATCAAACCCCATTGTTAAACATACATTTTTTTCTACGATGTTCAATTGTTATCTTTACTTTATTGATAAGAAAAATATCTACATAAAATCGAAACCAACATTCTAATAGTTTAGTGGTTGAATTACCTCAATTTTTGAAGATATATGGACTTTGATTTTGGTATCTAACATCCATGTAGACACTACTTTTTTCC